AAAAAAAAAAAAAAAACGAAAATTTGTCTTATTTGCTAGAGAATTTTTTGTTTTTGGAAAATCACCCCCCCTGAAAAATGTTCCTCGCACACTACTGGCGCAAAGGTAAAACAGCCTACTTACATAAGAAACACATGTAAGTAGGCTGTTTTACTTTTGCGCTGTCTGTTTGTATATTTGGTTTTTGCTCATATAAATTTGTATTCGTCTTTTTGCAGAATATTCTGTATGTTATTGTTTTCTTCTTAGGCCGTCATATATAAAATATATTTTTGAGCTTATCACTTGTTTACACTTTGAATCAATGTTGATTTACAGGGATTTCGAATGCTCAAATCAAATATATCAAATTGACCTTAAAATCTTATAATTATTTTTTTCATTCGCAAGTGATTTCATTGAAGCATTAAATCGCACGTTCCAATTGCCGCTATTTGTCATATTTATGTGATAGTAATTCTGTGATTACTGTTATTTGTGCTGGTGAATGCAACCCTGACTAGCATTATATGGGCTTCTGTATTATTCTGCTGAACTCCGCTCAACGTGGCGCCATCTCTATACACGACGTTGAAGTAATAAAAGTTTTTGTGTATTTCTCAAGTTTGAGAGAAATCGCATATTTACATTCATTTTAGTTGCGTTGAATTGTAATTTAATAACTGGTAATAAAAAATGTCAACAAAATCAAAGAGAAGAATTATAGAAGTCACAACAGTTATTATATACATATTTATGGTTTACTACCGCCAATTTAAGTCATATGAAACGCCTTTTTATTCGGTCTTCTCTTCATTACAAAAAAAATTATATAAATATATACACATAGCGTAGAGCATGTATTTCTTTCGACGTGAAATTTCGTAGCATTTAAAATCTGATTGCAAATTTCACTTAAAATTAATCGAGCACACTTAGCAATTTTATTGATGAAAAAAATTTAATTTAATATAAAATCTCAAAACATAGTACCATACAAAATGACAATTTGTTTACATGCTCATCGTTGACAGCCGGTATATGTGATGACATAAACCAAAGTGAAATGCTCATGTATTTGTGCGAATAACATTGCTCTCATTGGATCACATGTTCAAAATTCTTAACGTTGATTCGTTTGCTTATGCGCATTGTGCATGTATGTAGCGACGCTCAACAATCAATATTCAAATACATGCGAATACATGTGCACTTCATTTCGGTTTTTGTCATTCTACTGTTCGTGTAGAAAAACGTTCGTGTGAGTGACAACATTGATTGTTTTCATTCCACTGTTTTCTCTCTCTTGTGTATTGTTTTGTTTCTATTTTATTTTATTTTATTGTGTTTTAAATTGAATATCATTTTAAAAATTATTTATTACTTAAATGTTTTTAAAAAAATTGAACAATTTATTAAATTACAATTGAGAAATACACAAACAAATCTATAACTTAGATTTTGTGTAAAGAGATGGTGCCAGTAGTAGAGCTTTTTTCAAAAAGTCAAATGTAAGTGGGACTTGGGTGAATGCTGCGCATATGAGCTGATATGTCAACGAAGCACTTTTAAAATAGTATACTTACTACGCAACCGTATTAAAAAAATGCAATTTCATGATTCAAAGTAAAATAAAAAGATCAATTTAAACCCTTCCTTCCATACTCTTGTCAAAAATATGACGTTCGCATCAATTCAAATCAATAGTTTTTAAAAAACCTCATTTATATCGGCGGGAAAATTTCCATACAAAGAATATTCCGGTTCATGTTAAGAAATATCGCTGGTGATTGATGGCATGTATTTTTCCTTGAGTTGAATTAGTTCCAATTATACAAATTTGTAATTTCTTGAGAAATTCAAGTTTGCAGCGGAAAAACAAGTTTATTTTCCAGCTGTCGAGAAAAAAAAAACTATATCAAAACGGTGGATCATAAAAATATGGCTGATTTGCGTATAATTATACAAACATTACGCAATAAACAATGTCTAAAAATGTGAAAATGCACCATAAAATTGCTACGCTTTTTGTTATCTTTTTCCAGTCTCTGCATCTATAATTTGACTTTTATTTTAATAATAATAATGAGTGTTGATGTAGTGCACCTTTGCGAAAAAAATCAATTCGTTTATGATGCGAACGAAAATTGGTTTGTTTAAAGCAAAATGTGCAATAATTACAAATTAAATAAGTATGGTGAACAACATCATTGTATGTTTTTTACTTGGTTTGATTGTGCGATTTTCTTCTTTTTTCAATGGCCTTCAAATGAATCCGTTGGCGTTGGAACGATTGCAGTCAAGAATATAAGAAATGGTAATAAAATGAGGTGTTTCGAATGTATTATAATAATGCATCATAATTTAGTTCATATAAGCACATTTTATGGTTAATGAATGCATGATTAAGACAATGTGAATTTGTTTTTTTTTTCAGTTAGCGATTTATTAGCGCAACCGCGTAACAGCAACATTGTAAGTGAATTACCGCCAAAGACGAGCTTATTATTAGTTGAATACGTGCATTCTCTTCAACTCGAATTGTTTATCAGTTGGTTTGTCTTTTTTCATTTTCATTCCGGTTGACGATGCACACAATCGCGTTAAAAGCACAAACACACGTATCGCATCGAATGCGAAAGATTCATGCATAGATCTATGGCAGTTTGAAAACGTCAAATTTAACTAGGAAATTAATATAATCACGACTGTATCATTTTAGTGGAATGAAATACAATTTTGATGTGATAATATGCGCTGATTATTATTATTATCGGTAATTTATGTGGAAGCCAAAGTGGAAATGCACCAGATTTAAAGCGTATATTTTATGAAAATCAAAAGTTGCCGCGTTGCTGCTGCAAATTTATGAGATGCAAACATAAAACTATAGCAACATTTAAATGAAGTCAATTTTTGGTTTGGTGTCTACAATTAGTTGGTATTATTTGTATATACAGCTAAATGGTGAAATGGTACGCGTCGTTTGGGCTGTTTTTATCATTAATGTTTGGTTTGTTTTCTGCATTTTGTTTGTAGTTAAGTTTTTTAATAGCGGATGTCCGTGTGTAATAATTTTTATTTATGACTCGAGCACACCACAGACACCGTGTAATTTTGCATAAAATGTTTTCTCGTCTAACGATTCAATACAGCGAAAATAAAAGTGCACCAGTGTAACGTGTGATACAGCCATTAGATTTTAGACACATTCCATTCGCCATAAATCAATTTCTTATCAATGATTCATGTATATCGTGCTCGTTCACCACTTTTCGAAAGCGAACTGAAGGAGAGTGGGTTATTTGTACTAAAATTGATTTTTACTTGCTTTTAGTCTGGCATTTATTATGTTGTTGCAGAAAAAAAAGGTTAAAACAACCATTGAAATAACGGTACCGATTAGGTTAAATGTCAATTTAAATTCATCTATCAATAAAATACTTATCATATTCGCACGCAATTATTTATATTGCATGGTGTAGAATTTTACGATTTTCGATTAAAATGTAAATCAGTGTTAAGCTCACTTGGCTCTTTCGAAGAAGTCGTAAAATTTTTTTCCACTCAAATTACCTCATGTTTGCAAAAATACTGCTTTGCTTTTCATTCAACTCAAAGTAGGATAGTTTCTCTTAAAATACAACCGCCGATCGAATTATTAAGAAAACCAACAGAATGTTGGAACTTTGCATATATTAAAAAGACATAAAAAATTGATCAACAAAATGAAAAGAACACACACTTTCTGCGAAAGCAAACAGTAAAACAAGTAATGACCACTTCGATGTTTCAAATTAAAAAAAAACCCTTCTGTACGCCCGTCAACGATTTTAAAAGAGCACAATGTATTTATGAAAATGAATGAATAATTTGAACAGGTATATATCCATATGATGACGTTGATAATACCAATTATAATTAGAAACGAAAAAAAAATTGAGCATGTGTAATCGCCATAAATTATGTTTAAATAATAAAATAATAAACTCATTTCAACATTTTTTCCATTTTGTCGGATCCGAGCACAACATACACCGTATGAAAATGGTACAACAACAATAATACCATTTCGAAAATGCGGCAGCAAGAAAGAAGAAACATGTAGAAGCATTTTGTTGGCTTTAAAAAAAATGTATTTTACGGTGAAACGATTCTTGCTCTCTCTCTCTCACACTTCTTGTCGTTTTTCCCTTTCGCTTCGTTCATAATAAATTATCGTGAACAAATGTGTTTTTTTCTTGTTGAAATATCCATAGCTCGAAACACTCAATACATTAAAAACTTCTAATTAAAACTCTATCTAAATGTAAGATCACCAAAATTTATTGTCAAAATTATAATTTTATTTCATTTCGTGTATGGTACTGAGGAATGGGATTGTTTTTCTCGAGATTTGTTGCTCAAATGTTTTTTTTTTCTCTTCCATGGCAAATGCTACCATTTTCGAATATATTTACACTCATTTACCATTTCATTATAAAGTTGGCATTTTTCGTCTATTGTGCATATATTTCTTCTTCTGTCTCATTTTTTTTGGTTGCAAGATTTTCAGACCGCCGTTTCAAAATACAACACTGTGCGCCGGTACCTAT